GTAAAGCTCGAGAGTCCTCCGTGCCCTCCGCTTTCTCTCCCTGCATCCCCTCGGGGCTTCTCTCGAGGGGTTTCCAGAGGGACCCGAGCCCTCCCTCCCTGCCTGCGCCTTGATTCTGCGACCACACCGACCTCCAAAACACCCCCCCCTGTGTTTTTGTTTCAAACAGCAGCGCCGGGTAGGAGGAGAGGAAGACAAACATACAGCCGATTCCAGACTCTCGAGCTGGAAAAGGAGTTCCTCTTTAACCCCTATCTCACCAGGAAGAGGAGGATCGAGGTGTCCCACGCACTAGGACTCACCGAGAGGCAGGTAAAGATCTGGTTTCAGAACAGGAGGATGAAATGGAAAAAAGAGAACAACAAGGACAAATTCCCCGCTTCCAGACAGGAGGGAAAGGAAGGGGAGGCCAAAAAGGAAGCACATGATCTGGAAGAAGACGGAGTAGAAGGCCAGATGAATTAAATATTGCCCTAAAAGCCTTCGTTAAAGGCTACCAAAAATCACCAGCGCCACAGCCCGACGTCGCCCCCTGTTCGTGCTCCTGCCGTGGGACGAGTGACCCCGCGTCCCCCCGCCTGACGTTTCTCTGCTTTGGGTGCTTTATTTGCTTGTGGTTCGGTTTGGGTTTGGTTTTAGCCGTATCCGGAGCAATCTCTAGATTTAACCGTCCATATACTTCTCTTGCAAATTTGATACAGAGTTTGTAGCAATACTTTTCTAATTACATATATAAAAATATATTTTTTTTGCAATCTTAATAAACGGTGATTGCGGGAAACGACATAAACTTCCTAATAATAAATACCAATAAGTAAGACATTTAATAATGCTTTATTAATCAAGACAAGTGCACTTGTACTATTTTAATTCTTATCTTTTGTTGAGTAAATTAAATAAATATAATAAATTTGAAGAAAAGATTTTAGAAATATATTTAACCTTCTGCTGTTGATATTTGATTAAAATAAACAAATTTATTCAAATACAAAACTCATCCGCTTCCTGAAATCCTTCTTGCGTTCCCCTCTTACAATAACTTCCAGACCCTCTCCGCCTCTGGACTAATTCTCCGCTTTCCCCCGTCCTTCCCCCGACGCGGGCCGTTTCTGCGGGATCCGGGGAAGGCACGTTAGTTACAAAGCCTGGTTTTCTCTCCCC